TTTATGCTGGGAATGGTTGCCCTGCAGGGAATAGTGATACTCTTAGTGTTCAGTTAGTACATGGTTTGACCTCTGCTGAAGACTACTAGTTGTTGGTATGTATATGTAAATATTGAACTACCATGAGCCTGGCCGTATTGGAGGAATATTGGTGGAGTTCTTTTTATTTCAGGTTTATACATGTAGACCAAGCCACAGGCGAGCTAGGTCCATAAACCTGCAGAAATTAAAGAATGAGACCAATATTTTCCAATACGGACTTCAAATAAGTATTTATTATATAATGGCCCTTTTTAATCTGCTGCTAAATTGATGTGTCTCCGCGATCCACTCTCTGTAAACGTGTGTGGAAGGTAAGCATTTACACTGTATTTATTCATTTCTCACATCACTTTAGTGAACACTAATTTTCTAACTGAAATTGTCCTCCAAACATGAAGGTAAATTAAAAGATCACTCCTTAACAAATTTTTTTTTATTTTCTACAAATTATGAATTGAAAAAGAATTGAAAAAGCAATTTGCTGAAATTAATTCATGAGTTCAAAATTAAACTGGCTTAACTGGCCAATCAGTTTCAATGGACCACACTTGTGACATCATCGACTGACAAACATTTTTTGCTTGACTCTGAAGATTGCCACCACTCATGCAGGGTATCGAAATGTCAGACACCAACAACCTTTTTTCCAGAACCTGACACGACCCTAACCCAAACAATCATGCTATACATCAAACTCTTTTAAAAGTAGTCTGTAAGTTTCTATGTGTATGTACAATGTCCTGATGTAAGATAATGTTTATTTTTCTGGCGTCCATTTCAAACTTGGTGTTGGAGACCCGCGTTTATTGATGCTTGTTCATATTTGAACCTGATATTTAGCACTTTACATGTGCCTTAAACTTCCTGCCCAGCTTATTGCTCCTTGCAGAATATATAATGCTTGAGGAGCTAATATTGGAAACGCAGCATGTTATGGAAAAAAATATGGTAGTGTGCTAGTTGTAAGC